GGCCCTATTTTTTTGTCTCGGTTGTGGCATACCTGGACATATTAAAAGATTCTGGGATCAAGTTAACATCCTCCCCCCCCCCCCCCCCCCCCCAAAGAGACCAAGTTAAGATCCTCCACCCAAGCGTTCAGTTTGAATTAAATTTGCTAAGCGCTGCGTGTAAAACGCTCTATTCTGATTGGCTGAAAAATCGAACTCAGAACCAAGTTAACATCCTCCCCCTAAGCGTATTCGGGGGGGGGGGGATGTTAACTTGGTCCAGATTCTGTCCTGGTATACAACGCCTAAAGTAGCAATGAGATTGTCAATTTTTCCCCAGCCCAGTCAAAAAACGAACAGAGGCAGGTGAAACATGTGGGAAGTAGCACAGAAAAAATCTGAATCACTTGAAACTTTTTCATATAATAATTATAATAACGCTAATTTTTGCGCAGTTATTCCAATGGAGAGAGAAATTTTTTGCTAATTTCAAAGCTTTTGTTGGCTGCAGCGCTTGTATTAGCGCTATATCTCTATAAGTTAATGGAAAACTGAGATCAGAAAATTCAATTATCTTTTCTGACATCACTCCAAGTCAATTTACACATGTTAAAGTCGCCTCCGAAATTCAACAACATCATTTTGTGTATCTGTTTTTTCGAAAAATAAAATATCGATTCTTTTCGTCATCTGGTTGGTTAAAACTATCAACGTATTTTCTTCTAATAACCAAAGCAAGCCCAGGGACCAAAATGAACCGTGAATCAAACCTAAAATCAATTTTTTGTTTTCTTAGAAAAAACAATTACGATCCAACCACAAGAGTAGTTAGTAGTTGAATGCGAAGTAAACTACGGAGGATGTAATTCTCATCAATGTACGAGTATATCCAATCGTACGTCTTGAAAACAACTCCGCAGTATACAATTATGCCTTATGACTTTGTTTCAGCATATTGCAATCAAGCCAATCGTAATCTTGAGCAGTTTAAATTCACACTCAGAATCGTTCACAGTTTTAAATCCAACAGCCTCTCCCTTTTTTTTAAACTATATCACTTTTGACACCCAGAAAATTTGTCTTTTCTTGGTCCACAATTGTATAAGTGTCAAGCTTTAGAAAAGGCAAATTTTTTGCAGAGTCCATAAATCAACTAATCGCAAACGAATGTTTTAGATATCCCTCCCAAAATCCAAGACCCAGCTCTGACAAGGAAATTTTATGATTTCCTCTACCGGAAACGTGCGAAAACCCTGTAAACTTGTCTAGGATTTGTTGCTCGAGATTAAACAGATAGAATTAAGCAGCCAAAAAAAACTGGCAAAACAAAAGGTCGGTTTTATCATAATTTTTATAGATAGATTCTGTACTATCTTCTGATTGAAAATTGCAGATTGAACAAATACTTGGTGAGTTTAATGATATCTGTGCTCGTCATAGATTTGACGTAGGATACAACACTGAGTATAAAGTGAGTTAAAACCGAAACATCCCCTTTTATCTTATTTCCACAGTCATGTAACAAGTACTACTCCACGAGAATAATTGCAAATTGAGTAAGATCTTTTGCAATACTATAAGATAACAACATTGTCTGCATCAAAATACAGCAATTCCATTTTTGTTCTGCGAAAAAAAATGACGACAGTAATCTCGTTGATTTACGCGGCATAAACCATTTACTAAAACATGATAACAAAAATTAAAATTTTTAAAAATATTCTAGGGAAGATTAAGTGCAGCTTTTCGCACGAAATTGTTTTTTCTGTTAACTAGACTGTTCGTAGGCATTCCATTGCGTTCAATTGACTGACAGTCCAATTGTTAGCTTTCAATTTTGCTTCACGTACATACTTGTACACATGATTCGTACAAGGCCTCGAATACTCGGTAACATGATTTAGTTCCTTTGTTTTAGCATATCTTGATTCTTGCATCGCCGCTAAAATTGCACACAATACATGGATAATTTTGCCACTGTAGCAAACACCTTATCTGAACTCTTGCCAAGCTTGCGTAAATTTTTTGAATTCATTAAGCGTTCAGGTCTGAATCTTTCACCCGCTTAGAGGCAAGTTGCGAAAAATTATCACGCCAAGTGGGAGACAAGCAGCATCGGAAAAACTCATACGTTTGCTTAGCTTGATGAAAAATGCCAGAGACATTGAAACAAGCTAAGATTCTGATTGTGTTTTACCAGTTTTTGCCAAGCTTGAACGAATGTTTTTGCCACCTTATCAGTTTTAAAGAAAAACTTAGAAATTAACACATAGGAAACACGAGATAAAGCGTTGCAAACACTGAAAAATGACTTACATTTAGCAACTAAAATGACACTGCGTCCAGCAAAACCTTACCAAAAGTTTTTATTTCCCAGTTGGTAGTTTTCACCAAGCACATTTGTCTTGATGATCCAAGTTATCTAATTAATAAAAACGAAAAAGCAAAGTCCAATATGCACCTGTTCTTTTTGGATCCCAATTGTTTCATCAGTCAATTAAAATTGTTAACTCATTGCAAAGAGTTCTCGGCTGTTAACTTTACCATGAACTTTTTTTCGCACTCTGTTTGGGGGCAGAAAACCTATTTTACTCCTCATTAATAACATAAACCCTAAAAGGTTTTTGAGGCGAAATCAATTTACCCATCTTTGAAGAATTTTGTTGATCGGCTTGTCTTTAGCAACGTAGGCATGTACCCGGCAAAGCAAAGGCAGCCGCATGATTTTTATCGCGCATGCATACTGACCCGTTAAAATCAATTGTACTTAAGCTAACCGATAAGATTACAACCCTAGAAATTGACGGTTCACTGATCGCGAAAACACCTGATGTTTCTGTATTAATTCAGGCTGCTTTTTGTCATTAGATTATCATTGCTAATAAATCGTAACGATACTACTGCTTTGCGTATACGCTGTTAATCAAAACAAAAATTACGCAAGTCAAATGTCAAACCCATTTGATTCTTTTATCAGAGTCCTACACAAGCAATTTAAACCTGCGAAATGGACAAGATGAAGATTTTAACAGTCCAAATTGTAAAAAAAAGTGGATAAAATGGAAACTTTTTCCAAACCTTTTTTACGCATCGTATGATTAGAAAAAGTATGCGAAAGAATTGCCACGTCTGAAATGACTTATTTTATTGTCATTTTTTTCGAGTACATGTCCAGTCCTTTTGAATTTGTCCTCCGAAACACCTTAGAAATTATTTCGTATACTGAATTCACAAGGCATCATTTCCTATCACATCAACTGCGGACACATAGACTTCGTTGTTGAAGGACATGAAGCGCCTGCTAATGAAGACACTATCCCACCAAATGGACCTTTTTTGTTCCAAATCTTGAAAGGCCAATAACACCTTCGATTATAGGTACTGCTCAACAGCGAACCCTTCAGCAGGATTCAGCAGGTCTTTTCAACGCCATAAAAAGGCTTCGAAGGAAGTAAGATTCAGCAATCCAGCACCTTCAGCTGATAAATGATTGCTATCTCCAGCAATGACAGCACATTATCAGACGTTGCACGTGTACAGGAGGAGATATATGAAACAACAGGTTCTGGTCGCCAAGATGGACCCAGTTTTTCGAGATACGGCTGAATGCATAAGGTCGCAACACAAACTAAAATTAACAGATGTGGGAAGACTGTTATAAAAATTATTCCTACTCCTTACGTGATCGAGCACAGCGAAAACCGCCCAAGATCACCTTGGAAATGATATCAAAGCAAAGATAACTAATAATAAGCTCTCACAATTCCAAGGCCTTGATCAGAACGAGAAATTGAAGCACTGTTCTTGACGATTTCGGAAGACCAGATTGAATCGACACCATAAACCAGAGACCAGTTAGACTTATGTATTGGATCCTCACGAAACCAATTATGTCACAAAAATATGGCAGCACAAACGAGACATGCATCATGCTCAGCGACATTGCACACCAAGGGGACTATAAATTTAAAGCAAGTTTGTGAAACTGTAAAAATTTTTTCTACCTATAAGATATGGAGTTCGGCTTTTATTATCATCAAATGAAAGTAACCCATTTATCGAATTTACTTTTGAAAATCCTAAAACACCAGAGTGAGTAAATAGAAAGTATGCCAAATTTGCATCATACTACTTGAATGCGGAAAACAAAATCATGGGTGACCTTATTAAGATTCGCAGCGTCCTAATGGCCTGTGATGGAATCCCAGTGGTTAAAGTCAATGTTAAACTAGCAGATTCACTTCAAAACTTACTTAGCGGTTTATCATTTAACGAAATGCCAAACTACAATCAACAGACATGCTTATAATGAAATAATAAGACGAGTAAGAGAACAACTACCGTCATCACCAATACCAAAATTAAAAAAAAATAGCAGCACGTATGGCAGACAAGATGAAAATACTCAAGCCTCCACTTGTCTGACAATCTGAAAGCTATCAACCGCTTGAAAAATTACTAATGATACGCATTTTGTTTTTCATTTGGTCGACTGGACTTCATATACTCTTCTTTGCTTTGTATCATAACTTCGCTTTTGTGAGAAAAATGGTACCAGCTTTTGTGAAATCAGAGTCCGAAAAGGAAAAAACCAAACTAAAGTACGTCATGTTTTGTGATGACACAAAGGAAGAAAAACCTCACCCGAAATCTGTCGACAAACATCTGAATCAAACTGCTATTTTTGGCGAGCAGGAACTCAGTCATTATTATTTACATTCGTTTGTTCTGATGCGGAAATTGACAGTAAAAATTTTGTTTTGGCTCAATCGGTGTCTACTCAATTGTTTTCGTCTTAGTTCGCGCTCATCGGGCATTTAATGCTGAAGATTGTGTTTCTCGACATGCTTTCCTTAGTTTGAGAAACATTTGAAACAAATACATGAATTTGAAGTTTATTCGAAATTTTATCTGACTCATTTGCTTTCATCGCTTTCTATACTATATGCTATGTGGTCACAAGAGTCTGTATTGGAAAATGTGTCTGTCGAAAACAAACAGTTTTGGACTTGTCTCTTCAGGTATGGACAGAAGAGGCGGACGTTCATCTACCGACTGGTGGCCAACAACACAATGGAGAAACGCATGTACGACAGACAGCTCAACAAACAGGTGAGGAGGGAAGTGAGAACATCAGGGGGTCAAGGAAAGGATAAGGAAACGAAGAACAGACAAATGAAAGCCCAACTGTTGACTTTTAAGCTGCATAAGGGTGTTATAATTACCCAAAAATATACGGAAGTTATGCTCACCATCTGATTTAAATTTCAGATATTTCAGCGGGTTGACAAACCTATCTGTTGATCTAGTTTTCCACACTGAGTTGGTATAGCTTTATTCCAAAAAAGTTACAATTTTAAAAGGTTTTTGAAATTAAAAATAGTTTTATGGCGATATTTGAATTCGAAAACTGAATAAATAAAAAAACGTCGTTTTGAGTTCATGGACATTTTTTCTGCTGTATTTTGGCAATATTTTAGTGTTTTAATTCATGTTGTACGTATACAAGGATCACTTGTTTTGCACCTCAGTTGCAGGCATGCCTATTTTTGTTTGCTCGTAGGGTATGTCGCAGCGGATAGTGGATGAGCTGAATCCGCAGTTGTTCCTGACGAGAGATGAGGTGGAGAAACTACTAGACTGGGAGGGACAGGAGACGGAGACAGATGTTGTGGATCACACCATATCACTCAACAAGTACAGCGACCACATACTACAAGGTACACACTTCATTTCCTGTAACACTGTAACTTAATTTGCTCAAGTGTCATCATGTTGAAATAAAGTTAAGGGGTTGGTGCTTCTTCAAGTATGTTGTTTACAGAAGTGTGCAGCCTGTACTACCCTATGATCTCCGTGTCCCCCTTTGAACACGAGTCACTCCTAGTGGACAATGACTCCAAACTGAGTGTGGCTGAGAAGAGGGAGGCGAGAGAGGGCTACCAGAGGGAGAGCCAGACCAGAGAAGTACAGCAGCTGCAGTCCTCTTCGTCCTCGCCCTACAGCAGGAACTACTCCATACCCCTGTACAATCGAGTAGGAGTAGGAGGGGAGCTAAGTGGGGGCAATGACCGCTTAATCAGTATGTTCCAGTCCAGGAGGAACAGACCAGTGGCCAATATCAGACCCTTCTCTGTGCGCAATTCAGCCGCCACTCCTCACACGCACATTCACATGCAGCAACCATGGTAAGGATATTGTGTCTCTTAACCAAGGTTGCATTTGCACTTATGATAATAGAGTGGTGATTGCGCTTTTTTATAACACTGTTATAGTTAATTTATAAAAAATGTACTCTAAGTAGTCTTTTTACTAGAGCATACTAGACGGTTTGTGCGGTTTCCGACCTGCTCTGTGGTCACCTTAATTACACTAGCCATCAGCGTAGTGTTTTAGTGCGATCCTTTTTTCTTTCCCAGCCTAACTCGCAAATAAAATATTCATTGAAAGTGGAAAGTGTTCACTTATTTGGTGGCACTTTAGGTATAGTCACGATTTGTAGCATTGAAAATTTCATAGCATCTGTTCTCTGCTTTGCTTATGTTATTTGTGGCTAGTGTTTGTGTTGTATTCAGCGTGAGTGGCTGAGTGTTTAGTGCGTGAGACTCATAATCTCTAGGCCGCAAGGTTGAATTCCAGCAAACCTAGCCTAATTGGTTTTTTATTAATTCGAGGCTTATTTCTACTTTTTCGTATTGCACTTTCTAGAGCTATTTTTTGTCGTGCTGTCGCTAGTGTTTGCGAAGCGAAGCGAAGCTTCGCCTCTGTGTTAAATTATCTTTTTATATAAATCTTTTTTTTACTGATCTTTTAATTTTGTACTTAAGAAACAGTTTTTGGAAAACTACATTCTACGAAATACGATTTTCTTGGGCATGCTTGTAGCTTTTCTTTGAAATGAATTTATAGAATTTGTTTCTGTGGGTTTCTAAATTGTAGGTAGAAAATACGACCCGAGAAAACAAAAAATATTTTTTTTTGACAAGAAAAGGGTTGAAAGGAGGTATAAAGGCATAAAGGTGTATGTTTAATCAATTTTTGCCAGTAGAACGATCATTGAATCTAAAAAGATAACTATTGTTTTTATGTTCTCCGCATAATGAGACACCTGGAAACGGGCCGTGCTGGCTTAATGGTCTTATTTCTTACGATTCGATTTGTATTTGTAAATTTTATAAATAACTCTGTAGATATTGTTTGGAAACAATTTTTATTATAATCAAACTCGAAGATTTTAAGGTTATTACGTTGCACTTGCAATTAGAAGGTATTATCAAATCGGAATTTTTTTCAGGTTTAATAACTTGTGTAACATAGTCACTGAATCACTTCGTCTAGAATACTTTTGTCAACTCTGTCATTGGATGCAGGAAAAAACTGAAATCAATTTTGGAAGAATACCTGAAACTAGAGGAATCCATCACACAAAATGCTGCTTCATAGTCAAGGACATGACGCTAATTTTGTTTCGACGCTTGATTTAATTTCTTTCTTGTTAGATGACTTTTTTGCAGTATCTTGGACTCACATTGAATTTTGTTAAGGGCACACTTGTCAAATCGGTTCTCATCGGAAGGGACAAATGGTGACAGCGGTTATTCGGAGAATCAGTTCACCCTCAGTGGCGATGTGCGCATTCCGGGAAACAGGACATACAGTGGACAAGACATGGTGCTGAGAGCAGGGGAGCTGGTGACGCTCACACGCGTCAAAAACCCAAGTCCACTCAATCCCAGCAGCTGTCAGTTCTATCTGAAGACGGGCAATGGAAGTGTGTTTCAGATGGACAATAGCACGGCGTCTTCACTAATGCGTGTCTGCGCTAGAAGTTCCAACAGTAACAGCGCGAATACATCAAATAGCCTCGCAGTTAATAACTTTCTTGGAGCCACCGGTCAGAATATGATACCTATGCAAAGTTCGCCGTACGAGCAAAATGGTCCAGGTCATTCGCTATTCGTCGCTGAAGGACCAGGAATTAGAACGAGTCACTTGCTTCCTCAATCTAGCGCCAATAGTTTGCGAAGCTTCAACTCCGCCTACACGAACAGAAACAAGCCTTCTGAACGAACGGCCAAAGTGGCCCCAAGGCAACTTATTAAGTGCAATGAACCGAAAGCTCCCCCTCCGGTGATAGAACTCTCGGACTCAGATTAGATTAGTTAAATATATAGTTATAGTATCGTTTTTGTTTACGCGCTGACAGTTTTGTTTCGAATGCATTTTATAATCTGTAAAATTATTAAGATTTGATTATTAAGCTACAAAACTAGAAAATAAACGTTTCTAGAGCCAATGAACGTAGTGAAACTCTTTTATAGTTCTTGATGAAACTTCGGTTCGTTTTTTTTCCAGAATATTTTCTTCACGCTCAAATTTGATTTATTTTTGTGGTTTGACTTCTGAAGTTCAGTTCATTTCATTTGTTAAAACGAAGGCAAACTCTCTTATCAATCAGCAAAAGTCACAAAAAACGCGATCGAGTTCCGGTTTCGAAAGTGGTATTTAATTTTCGGACTTCCAAGCGGAATAAAAAAAATCACTTTCTAATCCAGTTCTCAAATTGGGTAAATTTTACCACAAAAGTGCCACTCATAAATTGTCATTGAAATTCAAAGAGCTTTCGGGGCGAATATTTTTTGTTTGAAATTCGTAAGTTAAGAGATCATTGACTTTTTTCAACTGTCTGTTGGCTATGTTCTCATTTTTAAGAGGAGTTCACTCAGCTCACCTAAATTTACATTAAAAATTTCCCTAGGTTACATGTCCACTAGGAAAAATTATCTGACCCCTTGTTTTTGCCTGAAACTGCATCAATGTTGATTATGGTTTATTTCATGGCAAAACTAGCCAAATAAAACAATTCAATGTTACTTTATCATCAAAAGAAAGTTTCTTAGTGGAAGGAAAGCCGTAAATTTTTGAAGAAAAAACAGCCCGAAAAAATTGGATTCATTATTTAGCTTAAAAACAAAGAAGTTAAGTCACCCCTCAACAGACACTCATAAGCAATTTGTTTCACTCAGGGAACGACGCAATTGGAAGCAATCAAGGCGATTTGATATGGACAGAAAGTACAGAATTTAGAAAATGAGTGAGTTGTTGTTTTAGACAAAATTGTTTTCATACCAAAAATTTATGTTCCGATTTGGTAACACATACTAAAAAGGAGCATAATTATGGAATGCGTAACTTTATCGTGCATATTAGTCGAATAAGAAAAATTTTCAGTTAATAACAGTTTTTATAAAATTCTACGTAGAAAAAGCCAATTACCTCCACCATTTTAGAATAATAGTATCAGCAGACAATCACGAGCGTATATAGGGTTTTCTCCAATATCAGGGCTAACTTGCTAACAAAAAATTGATTTTCTGAGCGCCGCCAAATCACGAGTGAGACCCTATTATGAGCAAATTTTGCACTGCAAGCAAGTTATAAGAAACTGGCCAAAAAGACAAATCGGCCCTTTATGAAAATTATTGACCAAAAATTTTTTGGCAAGGGTCTTTCGGCGGTCTCTGACCTCAAAATAAGCTTTGGGTCAAGGGGTCAAAATGCTGAAGGGTGCGTCCGCTCCCTCCCAACATCGCTACTGCAGACGATAAGTCGACAAAGAAAAATCTGGCTTCGCAAAAACAACAGGTCACGACATTTTGTTGACGTCAAGCGTTGGAGTTACCCGCGAATGAATCATTCCGGTTGCGAGACCTTTTTACAAAAACAAACTGTTAAAACTGAAACGATAAATAATCCGGTTTTAAAAAATGGAAGATAAATACCCGTTTTTCTCTAGTACCCACATTGATTTTTTCATGAATTCAGGATATGAAAATCTATAAAATGACTGAATCAAAACATAAACAATTGAACGATTCTTACATGCAAAATGCCGTGTGAACAATTTTTAAACTGCTATATTTTGTAAAGTTACTAAGGGTTGGAAAACATAATATAAATTTACAAGGGCGCTGAGTATAAAGTTACAATGGAAAGCAGCATTATTGCCCCAGTTACATTCGTGCTAAGGATGCGAGAAATAATTAATAATTTTTGATGCAAGTTTTCAAGTTTTCTTCAACATAAAGCTCTTAAATTGGAGGTCAACGAAAGTGCTAGAAAACAGACGATCCGTATCGTTCAGCTGTGAAGACCTTGAAAAATCTTACTCCTCTGGACGCGGCTCAAATCTCCCGGCGCAATTCAGTTTTTTTTTCTCTCCTTTTTGACATAATCTTGTGCAGTTTACGCTCAGTTTTGCTATTTATTCAGCCTATAGTTGCTTCAACACGTTTTTTTTACGATTGCAAAAATATATTCAATCAGTTTTGTTCTGACCATTTCATGAATTTACGAAAAAGTTGAATCAGTTTCTTTTTCGACCACTTAAAGAAAAACAAGGTTGTCGTGAGAAAACTCTATTCAATTAGCACAGCATAGAAAATTGAGTTTTCTCACGACAATCTTGATTGTTTAGGCTCAGTTTTCCTTTTTATCAGCTTGTCGTTTCCTATACACGTTTTGTACTATTGCAAAAAGTATTCAATCAGGTAATTGCAAATACTTCAATTGCCTACAAAAAGATTGATTTAGTTTTTGTTCCGACCGTTGAAAGAAATACATAAGATTTTTGCAACAAATTTGTCGCTGTTATACATTTCTTTAAAACTATTGTCGTAAGTAAGCTCAACGCAATTTGTTCAGTAATTTTTTAGTCATTTTCAGAAAATGTATAACATAGCAACAAGTTTGTTGCAAAAATGTGTACTCTGTAAGCGATCGGAACAAAAACTGTTTAATCTTTTTTAGACTCTTGAAGTTTTCGGAAACAAAACTGGTGGAATATTTTTTGTTAAAGTAGAAAAACGTGTTTAGGAAACTACAAGCTGAAAAAAGCCATCTCGAGCTTAAAAAATCATGATTATCATGAAAAAACTCTATGCAATTTAGATAAATTAGTTGCTGTGCAAATTGCATAGTTTTCTCACGACAAGTTTGATTGCTTAAGCTCAGTGTTGCTTTTTTCCGTCTTGTAATTTTCTAGACACGTTTTCTTATGATCACAAAATTTTTTCAATCAGTTGTTGTTCCGACCGCTTAAAGAACTGCATGACTTTTTTTGTTACTATCTTATACATTTTATAAAAATGACTATCGTAAGTAAACTCTATGCAATTTGCTAGTCTTTTTCACAAATGTAACCATAGCAGCAACTTAATTGCAAGATCGTTTTACATTTCTTTGAGTCGTCGGAACAAGACAGTTTCAATATTTTTGCAGACTCCTGAAGTGTTCGGAACAAAACTGATTGAATATTTTTTGTAATCGTAAGAAAACGTATTTAGAAAAATACAAGCTGTAAAAAAGCATAAATTGATCTCAGAAAGGAATTGATTTCATAGGAATTGATTTCAGAAAGTTTTCACACTCAACCTCAAAACATTAATCTGAAAAGACATGGATTGATAATCAAGTTTGAAAAAAAAACTGCTGCAAAATACAATTAATTCAGATAAGCATGATTGAGAGAATCCTATCATTACTAGAGATAGCTTCGAAAGGCAGGCTAGAAATATGAAAATTTTTCCTAAAAACAAAAAATTGGATTTCTACTAACAGAGACTAGACAAACAAGAAAAAGCGTTTTTTCTAAATTTCCAATAATTGACTGGCAACAAAGTTGAAAAAAGACGGCAGGATATAAATGATCTAATGGTTAAAATTTAATTGACTTTCTTAACAAAAGTTAAAAAACCGGAAACAGAGGCAATCAAAACTCAAAAACCAAAAACTGAATTCAATATTGCCTTAAAACAATCTACTTGAATTTAGGTGCGGTAGACACAATGGTTGAGAAAATTCTTTACGATTTGCAAAAAAGGACCATAGGTGCAGTAGTCACATTTGCTGAACCAATGAAATCCGACTGGGAGAAACAAAACACCATGATTCAATATACTTTTTGGATCTACAAAAAGCTTATGACACCGCAGATTGCGAGTTAGATCATATAGAGAAAGCAAGTTTTGTGGCTTAAGTGTTGGCGTACTTTTCAATTAATTTGCTAAAAATGTAGAAGAACTACAGACGCAAAAACTATACAAGCAAAAAATTAGATATGCATCTCACTGTGTAATACAATTGTATTACATGAAGTTGAAAACAAACGAATTCATGTTTTTTTTCTAATTTTTTTTTCACAAAAACACTACTACTATATCAAGGATCAGTTGAATATAAAATTAGCCAAACCATGATTGCTAACTATTTGTTCAAAAACTATTTTCAATAGTTAAGATTTTAAATATTGTTTCTGTAAAGTCAGTTTGATAACGGAGTGAAACACTGAACACTTGCCTAAATCATATGATCATTGATACTTTTCATGCTCTTGCGAGCATTTGTACTTTTGTGTTTATCAATTGGTATCTATTTGTTTATCTTGATTTAAGAAAATTATGTTTGCTATTATTTTAACATTTTCAGTTCTAACCAGTGTGTTCAAAATTTTAAACAGTTCGTAGAGGTCAAAACAACCAGTATTAGAGATGACTATACTCAGTTAAACGGTTCAAAGTCTCAACTTTTTTTTGTAAAATTTAATTTAAATGTTTATTTCAATTACAGCTTCACTCATTTAAAACTCTAGTTTTATTTGACGTCTGCATTTTTTTCAGGTAACTGATTTTGTTTTCCAGTTTTAAGAGCAGCTATATTGTTCTCCAGCCCTTTATTTGTCTCGTCAAATAAATTTTGATGACTTTCTTGTATGGCAGTTTCTAAAATAATATTCAAAGTTGCTTTATTGTCATCATTTAAGAGTCTTTGTATTTTTTTTGTTCAGACACTAGATCATTGAAAAAATGAAAAGTTGTGGACCTATCTCAGACCCATATTGGGCATCAATTTTTTCATTTATGTTCGAACTTCTTTTTCATTGCTTATATTGATTCTTGTTCTGACATTGTTGTCAAACGCATGAAAAATTTGATGCGTAATATTAACTTGTACATGCTGACAATAATGCAACTTTCAACACTACTTTAGAAACTGTCATACAAAAGAGTCTTCAAAATGCATTTGACAGGACAATTAAATGGCTGGAGGACATTATACCTACTCTCAACATTGGAAAACTGGTGATTAATCTACTGGTGATGTACCTATTCTCAACATGAGAAAGCTGGTGGTATTGATCTCTACGGACTTCTAACACCAATAAACATCTCCAACTGACATTAGATCTGGTGGTAGTGTTTTCGTTAAAAAACTTTAAAAAATACATGAATTCGTTTGTTTTCAACTTCATGTAATACGCATGTATTACACAGTGTGATACAAATCTAATTTTTGCTTTTATAGTTTTTGGGCCTGTAGCTCCTCTACATTTTTAGCAAAATTAATTGAAAAATACGCTGAACCCCCCTTAATCCACACAAATTGCATTCTCTAAGTGATCTAAATCGCAATCTGCGGTGTCATAAGCTTTTCGTAGATCCAAAAAGTACTTTGAATCATGGTGTTTTGTTTCTCCCAGTCGGATTTTATTGGTTCAACAATTGTGACAACTGCACCTATGGTCCCTTTTTGCAAATCCATAGGGATTTTCTCAAACCTTGCGTCTACCGCCCCTAAAGTGGTGTTTTGCTAATCTAAGTAGATTGTTTTCAGACAATCTTGATTTATGCTTTTGGTTTTTTGAGTTTTGATTGCCCCTGTTTCCGGTTTTTTAGCATGTTTTCCAAATTTTGTTAAGAAAAACTTTTGTTAAGAAAGTCATTTAAATGTTAACCATTGGTTCATTTATATACTGCCGTCTTTTTTCAATTTTGTTGCCGGTCAGTTATTGGAAATTTCAAAAAAAAAAAAATTTTCTTTTTGTCTAGTCTCTCTTAATGGAAGTCCAGTTTTTTAGCAAAGATTTTCACATTTCTAGCCTGCCTTTCGTAGCTATCTCTAGTAATGATGGACTTCTCTTAACCATTTTTATCTGAAGAAATTGTTTTTCGCAGCAGTTTTTTGTACTTTTGAATTTAGCTTTTATAGTTTTTAGTCTGTAGTTCCTGTACACTTTTAGGAATACTTAAATGGAAAAGTTTTCGCTCAGATACGTTCAAACGGGCCATTTAGTCTATTGACGGTCTATCAGGCTTCACACTGGGTTTTAATTTGTACCAATATCTTTTAACCGTCTGTTTGTGGGCCTGAAAACAAAGTAAAACTTTATCACAACCAGTTGAAACGATTTCGCGTGCAAGTAAAAACTGTTGTTAAAACATGATTTCAGAACAATTTTGATGAAAAAAAAGTGTGGTATCATCTCTTAATTTGTGCTTCAAACTTATACTTAATAAGTAATTTCTAAATGCAGACTTTTGAAATCATTTTTGAAAATACTCCCTCTATATTTGCAATTAGCAAATCTAAAATTGGGATTAAGTGAGTTCGGAATATAGAAGTTTGAATCAATTGATAGCTTGTTTTAAAACAAAATCATTTTTTTCAGCATCCGCGACCCAAAAAGTTCCGGGTTAAAGGCGTTTGAATTATTTGACAACTTGTTAAAAATAAACTAGCGTGTAACGCCCCCTCCGGTACTTCGATTTTTTAAACAAATATTAAGAAACGCAGATATTGGAATTAAGATCTGCATCCTTTGAGTGTACTCTGACAGCACCCAATTGAAGGAATGGTAATTTCAAATTTTGTAAAAAAATTTTTACTCAATTTTTGTTTTTACTTAGTTTGAAAAACCATAAAACTCTGTGAAGTTCTCAAAAACATTTTAAAATGACATAAGAAAACGCCCCATCTCAGAAACTAAAAGAAAATGAGCAGTCGTATTGGAATGCAAAATTTGTAACTCATGAGAGTACCTTCACATTAACCAACTACAGCGTTGGGAAGTTCGAATTTTGTGAAACTTCATTATCAAACTTTCTCAAAAAAAACTTTGAAAAAACCATAAAAAACGTCATATCACAAAAACACAAAAAATTGAGCAGTCATATTTTGAGGCAAGATTTGCAACCTCTGAGAAAATTCTGACAGCCCCAACTACAGGGTAAGGAATTTCAAATTAAAAAAATATATAAAATGAAGTTTACTGTAAATTTGAGTCGTGGCATTTGGACGCAAGAATTGCAACTTGCAGGTCATGAGAGCACCTTTGCAGTACGAAACTAAAAGGTTGTGACTTTCAAGTTTTTTGAACTTTTAAAATCTAAGTTTTCAAAAAAATTTAAAAAGAAATCATAAAACACATCATATTTCGAAAACTACAAGGATTTGAGCAGTCATATTTGGAGGCAAAACTTGCAAACCCTGAGACCCTTAGAGTACTCTGACAGCCGCCACTACAAAAATGGGAATTTCAAATTTTGAAGAAACTGACCTAAATTTAAGTTTTGAAAATTTTTGAAGAAATCACAAAAACGTCTTATCTCGAAACCTACAAGGATTTAAGCAGTCATATTTAGAAGCAAAAATTGAAATTTGTAGGAGTACCCTGACAGATCCTAACTATAGAGATAGAAATTTCAAAATTTTTATAACCAATTTCTTTGAAACAGTTTGAAAAATACTGAAAAAAAAAACGTCCTATCTCAAAAACTATAAGAATTTAAGCAGTCATATTAAGAGCCAAGATTCGCAACTCCTGAGGGTACCCTCAGACTTTCCAACTACAAGGATTCGAGAAGTGAGATTTGAATGGAAGATTTGTAATCCCTCAGAGTACCCCCAGACTACCCAACTACAGGCTTGAGATAATGAAATTTTGTGAAGTTTTTCAATTTCAAGTTTTCTAGATATTTTTGAAAAATCTCGAAAATTGCCGTATATCTTAAACTAAAAGGATTTGGTTATCCATATATGGACGCCAAATTCGCAATCCCTAGGTAATCTTTATAGCAACCCACCATTGTGTTGCTTATTTCAAAATTGATGAAATACTCCTTGATATCAAACTGGAAAATCGCATAAAAAAAATCTTAGCTATTGCTATGTACGATATAGCTTGAACGTGAAAAATTTTTTTCAATAAACAATACAACGAATGCACAAAAAATACGTTGAAAAGCTAAATATACAATAGATTCAATTTTTTTAAACTATGCATGGGATGGCAAATCCCTTAAATTCAAAAAAAAAATTGTTCTTTTGTTTGTCATTTAAAAATAGTACGCTAAATTTCCTCAATTCAGATTTTTCTGGCGCTGAAAGCAATTATCGCTGCAATTGAATGCGTTTGATTTATTCTTGTAATTTGTAAATTTACTTAATCTAAATTTTTACTAATTTCCTTCTTTTTCCGCCTCGAGCCTTCATTTGGCCTCAAATGCTTTGACTTGTTCTATCATCTTGGGGACCTAATTTTGCGTCTATTGAAAGAAAAAATAGGTGTTTATACCTTAGTGTGTTTCGTGAAAGGGAGCGTAAAAATTAGGAAGTTAGAACTTCCAAGTTTTTCTTGACAACAACTTTCGTCGGCTTAGGTACCGTTCAATAAAAACTCTTGAGCACTTATTGATCATCGGGAGCTGTGTTTCTAGATAATTTTTTCTCAAATAAAGCAGCATTGCAATTTTTTTAATATGTTTTTAGAAGTTTTTACGACTGTTTTCATGCTGCTTTCAGCCATTTAATTTCATTTATCATACAAAAACTCAACTTGAAATAATGTTGCATCCATTTTATGCCTTCTCCCGAGATTCATTAGGCGTTTTTCATCAGGTATTCTGACATTGAAACTTTTGCCGATAAAAATGAAAGAACGCTTCGGTTAACCGACTTAATCCACATAAACTACATCGGGAGCAAAAAAAGGCTAAGATCAAAATACTAGAATTCAATTTCTTTATTACTCCATATTAGGCTACAAGTAGCACCATGAAAATGAAGATGAAAACAGTGCACAATCTAGGCTATATTTACTTCTATTCATGACTCTATTAGTGAAATAGTCAAGTTTCAATTGAAGAATTATAACAGCCGCAGAAACTGCAACAGATACTAATGTGAACACAACAAGAGTAAGGGCACATTTCTTCATCAGGATCTCTTCTCTGTTGCCGAATTTGTTCACGACTAAAAATCCGAGAACTAGTCCGACAGCTGAAGCAACCGACAGAGAAATGAGGTAATGCAGGGGCAAGATGATCGCAACAGTGATGATGAGCGCCGAGACCGAGAATACAGCTAGTCGTTTGGTCGCCGATCTGAAGCAGCACTGACTGAATTGACTTCTGGCTGCAAAGCAAAGGGTGCCATATGTGAAGCACAGGGGTGTCCAACCTACCAGAGTCCTGTCATGGACTAAGAGACACGTAGCCTGAAACAGCGAAAACACGCTGTGCTTAGTCTAGTTCTAAATCGCAGAAAACAATGCCAGGCTCCAATCAACAGATCTAAGAAAGAGTCTAAAAGTAAAATTATCAATACATAAAACATATAGATTAAACATATTGCAATAAAATTTCAACGTAAGTATATTTATCCACGAGCAGGGGCGAATATAGAGAGAGGGGTGGGGGGGTTTCGATCCCCTCACCAACCAAAGAGCCCCCCATTTGGTATTATTTTGTGCCATCTCATCAGAAAACTTCATGAGAGAAACCACATCATCAGAAAACTTCATGAGAATGTACAGATACTTGATTTGAATTTGAATAAGTGCAACTGTTGAAAGTTGGCTCAAACATGACGTGAAACAAATTAGGAAGCCAAAATCTTTGGCTCATTTTTTTTCTACCGTTTCAAAATATTTCCGTAAATGAACAAAATCTACCCTAGTTAAATTATATGTCGCTTCTGGGATCAGATCTACGAGAAAAAACACCAGAAAATCGAACAATTATTCTGCAAGATTGCTGCAACTATATCTTACGACTTTTGAGGCGCATATATTATTTTCACTAAGTTTTCACAAAATTAAGTTTTCAAAATAAGGAAGATTTATGTTTCAGTCAGTGACATGCAGATAATGTTTAGGCTCTGATGGTGACATGCATATTCTTATTGTGAGACCCTAAAACTTTACGTTACTCGCTCACCGCTGTTGATAGATTCAAGGATGAAAGATGGAGAGAGAATATGAGAAGAAACCCAAAGTGCTTCTCCAGCACTCTTCCCACGCAAAGGATGAAACATACAGACAATGCACAGTCCAGTATTCCCAGAGGGTAGAACAGAGTCGATATGAGGTAGAGCACAACTCGCACTGAAGAGGACACGTCTCCACATATTTGTGCAAAGCATTCCTGCAAACATTGCAACAATTTCTCCACGCGTTGTAGAAACGAAAACAATGTCTGTTTTCCTGATTTCATTCAAAACCTTTGTCCGGAAAATGATAATAACTACACGCGCAGCTCAGGAACTTACGCACATATGAAAACTAAAGTTTCTCTAAACTTAAGCTTCAAATTAATCTTTCTCCGATAAGGTAATCGAACTTATGGTTCTGACGAAACAAGACAAATCAGACTAAGCCCAGTTTTTTCAATTACCACAGATGACTTTGAGGCTAGATCAAAACGAAGTGCCCAAAAACCCAAAAATGCCCGATAACCAACCATTGTGACGCTGATTAATGAAACCCGAGCCGTCTTGGAGCCAGGGCAGGTGGTCGAATTCCTGAGGTAGGACGTCCACCCCCCCCCCCCCCCCCCCCCCTCCCCCCAAACAGCTACTGCTTGGAGCCATGCAAACTTGAACACCACGCAAATGGTTTCCACTTTACTAATTCTATTCAACAGCTTACTCTGTTACGGCAGACTTCCCCGTCAGTCCTATCCTGTTCTGTTCTACCCAAATCCACGCAGTACTTCGATTTATTCTCGTAATGCAAGCTACCGTCCTTAGTTGCACAGATGAAAGGAGAAAGACAACAGGTCGTTTGGTTTTCGTCTATTCCGAGCTGGCGTAGTTCGGCAGTAGTGTCAGAAAGCTCAGATCGTGTGTGCCCAAATGCAGCCACCAGGCAGTCCAGACGAAATGCGACAATATCTAAGCAAGCATTTTGAACAAAAAAACTGATCGTATCAAGGCGAAGCTCTGAATGTTTCAACTGATGTTTACCGTGAATGAAAATGTTTTTTTTTCAGGTCTTTTTGACAATCCCGTTTTACCCTCCTCATAGGCTATGTCCAGTCCAAAGGGATGCATGGTTGCAGTCCATTACGTATACGTGTCATAACGTAGAATTACTCTGCAGAACTTAATTCGCACGGTCGAAAAGGGGTTTTAGAAAGGGGTCAGACACGTCTTGGATAGAGACCTTTTTTGCATTGCTAGATGGTTGAAAATTCACAAAGGGCTCCCGCAACTTCGTCTCAATTCCGATTGCAACCATGCCAAAAGTGAGCCGAATTTTTCTAGAATATTTAAATTGACTGATTTTTTATTATTAAATGAAGACTACCAAGCTATTCAAGCCTTGAAATTTTCAAATATTTCTAAGTTTTTAGTAGACTGATTCGGTTCACGAAAAGTTTAAGTTTCTTCAAGCTATTCAACGTATGAAAAAACTTTCAAGTTGTCTCATAGACGAATCGGTTCGCGGAAAGCTTAAGTTTTCCTATGCAAGCTATTTAGGCTAAAAAAAACTCTGAAATATTTCAAGGTTGCGCAAAGACTGATTCGGTCTGCTCAATGATTGTTTTTCTAAGCATGGAGGTTGCTGTTTCTAGTTGATTCATTTCAGACTGAAATGAATCCGTAAACGCAACATTTCTGACAAAGAGTGGGCAGGTACTGTCTAGCCTTGAAGTTTAATTTAGTTCATCTTGCTCCGATTGATTCTTAAACATTGTGCTCAATGATCGCTCTGAAAACATTGCGCCTTATGTCAGCTAAAACATGACATTAAATTTTCTGTCCTTCATTTCATATATAAGATAAGATATGATGAAATTTATCCATACCGAGAACCGAAGTTTCAATGGGAGAAATACAGTAGCAGGTTGAGAAACACCTAATCTAGCAAATTATTTACTAATTGAACATCGACACAGGCGAAGCTGCGCTTCGCAAACACTAGCGAGACCACGACAAAAATCAGCTCGTAAAAGTGCAATGGAAAGTAGAAATCAGCCTCGAATTAGCAAAAATTCGACTACGTCTGCGATTCGATCCTGCGATCTAGAGAATAGGAGTCTCGCGCACTAACCACTCAGCCACGGAAGCTGAAAAGGTACAGAACACTAGCTACAAAAAGCAAAGAACAGATGCTTTGCAATTTCCAATGCTACAGTGAAATTTCCAAATAAAGGAACGCTTTTAATGAACACTTTTATTAGCGAGTGAGATAAAAAAAAAAGAAAGTTCGTAATAAAACACTAAGCTAATCGCTAGAGTAATTATACCTGTAATTGATTTATAAAACGGCCTTGAATTTTGAGAGAACAAATTTTAGCTGATAAAACCAACAAATTTTTATAATTTTCATTGCGAACAAGAAAAATTGAATCCACGTTAGCAATTGACAAACATGCTCTCTTTTTCGATTAATAATTTAAGAAGATGGGTTTTTCCTTCCATTCAGCAAATGAAATTTACTAAATGAAACCTTTGAAGCAATATGCAAAAAAAAACGTTATGAACACAAATATCTAGTTAATGTGCAACTAGAACAGAATATACGACCATTATCATCTTCGTAAAAAAAAACATCGTCGATGTTTCAAGATCAGACAATTCAGTTTTTCAGTATCTGAAAAAAACTCTCAAATGTTTCTTCTTGATGTGTTGAAAAAAAATGCCTGAGTGTCGAGAAAAACTGCTCTGAAACTTTTCATTATTCAAGCTAAAATAAATAAGAGCTGACAAAAAATTGAATGAATGGTCTACTACAGTTCTACTATTCAACTCTACTACGGTTCTAACGTTATCGTTTTGTTACAGTTTTAAATCTATCAATTGCAGTTCATTTGTGCATTCCTTCGCCTAGTTCAATCGCCCTTCCTCGTAGAAACAGGAAAACTTGGATTAAAACAGAAAATAAGAAAACCGATTTTTTTCGATTGTTTTACTTTTTTCTTTTAACAGAGTGATCGAAAAAATTTTGCGAACATAGAACGCAACCGCCGTCTATGCTTGCTTTATATAGATACTTATTTTCAGATATGGTTATCTGAGGACATTTTCCACTCGGACTATGAACTATTTACAGGATACACTTCGATTCTAAACATGCTCATAAAAATAGCAAAAAAAGTAGTATTACACTTGAACCAGTAGAAAACTAGCCAAAACAAAACATCTGGGAAAAAATCAAAAACGTGAAAAAGTTTTTAAATTGATGTGTTTATCAAACAAATTGAGCTGGTTCATATCAAAACATATTGAAATGGAGTCCAGAATTAAGGCAACAAAAACTAAAGGAAAACCGAAAAAGTCTCTTAGTTTCGATTTACAAATAATAATACTGTTACGGAAACTTGCTAAATGATAATTAAATAGTTTAATGTGCATAAATCAGTCGAGTTTTGTTTTAGTGACAAAAAACTTCTTTTTTAAATGAGTGAAAACCGACAAACTGACGAAATTATCTGAAATGGCGAGAAAAGTAAGAATTCCAACAACAAAATTTTAAAATGGGACAAAGAAGATTTAAAAAAATATCATAATGTTTCCAAGTGAAGTCATTACACAAAATTCTTTTGCAAAAACATCACTTGAGAGAGCACCATAATTCCAAATCCAGCCTGCTTTCAGGCTTCTCAGACCAATTTTAAGGCGTCAAAATTGTGACGTCTAGCCTGTATAATTTTTAAAAAGTAAATGGATGTTTACTTGAAAAAAAAACAAAGGATATTTTTGATATTCCGCTGACAAACCTAAAAAAATAGAATCCCATTTTTCAAATAAAAGACTTCCTCTACAGAAGAAGATTTCGTGAACACAAATATCTCATGGCTGTGCAATAAGAGCAGTATATTGCGACCATGAGCATTATAGAAAGCTTGAAAATTTGGATTTTTTAGATCAGCCATTTTAGTTTTTTGAGGCCGGTATAAGATTTTGTGAGCAATGTTTGAATAGTTAAAAATTAAAATCCCTCCCTCTCAAAAACATGTACTTTCATTAAATAACCCTTTCAAAAAATTGGATCGTCTGAAAATAGAGTAGATCGACTGAAAAGGAGTGTCGTAAAAGGGGCGTCCGGCAAATAAGGCAACAGCTGCTAAGACAACTAGATTGACGAGACTTTAACATGACGCTACACACAACGTCTCCAATTGTAATTATGAGAAATATAAATCGCTTAAATTCGAACCAATCCGTTTACATGCAATAACTATCACTTGTCGTCCTAATGCCATGTTATCTTAGTGTCTTGTCGTCTTATTTACCTACCACCCGTAAAAAGAGGTATATCTGTTACCCCCAATTACAACTCTGGAAAGCAACACATAGCGAACAGACAGTTGAACAGAATAGTTGGTAACAGAATAAATACCGAATTATTTTTTGAAAAAATTGCAAATAGCGACATTCAAAGAAAATGTATATGCCCTTAACGCTCTTTGAATTTCTGGAACAATTCATGATTGGTACATTTTTTTTGATAAAATTGACCCAATTTGAGAAAACTGGATCAATAGGCAAATTTTTTATTTCACAGGAAAATCTGAAAAATAAATTCCACTTTCGTAACTGGCAGTCGATAACGTTGTTCGTGACCTTTACACTTCCACTGTTCGATCGTGGAGTTTGCTTTCCCTTTAACAAAAAAAATGAACTGAACTTAAAAAAGAAACGAAAAAGTGAATTTAAGCCTGGAAAAAAATCATGGCGACCTATATAAAAGTCTGAACTACGTTCATCGCTCTTAAAAATATTTCAAGTCCCAAAACTGTGACAATTTTAAAACACTATTTTTTTCCAGCTTCATTTAAGACAAAACTGACTCCAATACAAAAAAACTGTTCGTCTGAAATTTTCTGAGCTACCTGATCTTGCTTTGAACTTGTAATCGGAGAAAAATACGCTCACCTGACGACAGAGATACGATTGATGGGCCTAAAAAGACGTTGACGGGTGCCAAAAGAGATACATTGTTACGTTGCAATTCTGTCACACTTGCAACTTCTGAGGCAGCCAGTTCTAGTCCAGTAGAAGATAAGGCCACAAACATCAAAGCAGAGAAGATATGCACAGTGCACAGAAAGTATACAGCCCACACATTGTAGACTAAACCAACATGCAAAAAATAATTTTGTTGACTTAAAACTAAACTAGCGTGTAACGCACCTCCTGTTTTGACTCATGAAAAAAACCACTTATATAGGAAACCAGATCTGCAGGCTTTTAGTGTGCTCTGACAGCACCTAATTACAGGGTTGGTAATTTCAAAATTTATTAACTTTTTTAATTCAAATTTTCCTTCAAATCCCGAAAACGTCAAATCTCGAGAACTACAAATATTCGAGTTGTGATATTTGGAGGCAAGATTCGCAACCCAGGAGAGTACCCTGACAGCGCCCAACTACAGGGTAGAGAATTTCAAAGTTTGAAGAGAAAAATTAATTCAAGTTTTTTGAAAAATTTTCGAAAAAAATCACAAAAAACGTCATATCTCGAAAACTACAAGGATCAGAGCAATCATAATTGGAGTACTCTGATCGCCCCAACTACATGGTTGGGAATTTGAAATTTTGAAGAAAAAAGTTTCGTTTAAGTTTCCTGAAATATTTTATTGAAAAAATCATTAAAAAAATCATATCTCGAAAACTACAAGGATTTGAGCAGTCTTAATTGGAGCCAAGGTTCACAACCCCTGAAAGTACTCTGATAGCCCCCGACTACAGCGTTGTGAATTTCACGTTTTGTAAATTATTTTGTATATTGTTTTCTGGAAATTTTTGAAAAAAATCACAAAAAATGTCGTATCTCGTACACTAAAAGGATTTGAGCATTCTTAATTGGAGGCTAAATTCGCAATCCCTTGAAGAATCCTGACAGCGTCCCACTATTGGGCTGCTTATTTTAAACTCAGTGGAAGAACCACTGAATTCAAACTGGAAAAAATCTTAACCATTGTAATATACGATATACCTTTAACGTTAAACATGCAATAATCATACGTTGAAAAAGCTTAAACATGGCGAGATAGTGAAGCCCGCATTTAAATATAGAAATAGATAGATAATAGATTTCACAACTCAAAGACAATTTTTCACAACTCATAAAAAACCGCAAATATTGGAAAAAATCAGCATCCTTTGAGTGTACTCTGACAGCACCGAGTTACAGGGTTGGTAACTTCAAATTTTGAAACTTTTTTCAATTCAAATTTTTAAAAACCAAAGTTTTTTATATCTAAGTTCTTTGAAAAACTTTAAAATTTTTGAAAAATTAAGAACCATAACATATCGGAATCTAAAACAAATTGGGCATTCGCGTTTGGACGCAAGATTTGCAACTTCTGAGAGAGCTCTTACAGTATCCAACTACAGCGTTGGGAATTTCAAATTTTGAAACTTAAAATTAAGTTTTCTAAAAAAAAACTTTTTTGAAAAAACCAGAAAAAAAACGTCATATCTCGAAAACAACCAAAAGATTTGAGCAGCCACAATTGAAGGCAAGATCTTTCGCAATTCCTGAGAGTACTCTGACAGCCCCCAACTACAGGGGGTTAGGAACTTCAAAATTTGAAGAAAAAAAGTAAATTTATGTTTTCTGAAAACTTTTTGAAAAAATAACAAAAATTGTCATATCTGGAAAACTACAAAGACTTGAGCAGTCACAGTTGGATGCAAGATTAGCAACACCTCAGACCTTGAGAGTACTCTGACAGCCAAAACTAAATGGTTATGAAATTTTAAAAAAGAAGAAATAAAATTAAACTAGCAATTAACGCACCACGAAACTTTTAGTGTACTCTGACTGCACCCAATTACAGGGTTGGTAATTTCGAACTTTTAAATTTTTTTGAAATTCCCATTTTAAAAGCGTCATCTCGAAAACTTTATGGGCCTCTGGAAAAATTTGGAAGCCAGATTTGCAACCACTGAGGCAAGATTTGAGACGCCTGGGTGTACGCTGACAATAAGGTTGTATCTTCATCATGTTAGTAGTTTAAAAATTTTTGAATTTCTTTGTAGATAAGTTCTTTGAGAAATTTAAAAAAAATCGAAAAACGTCACATCTCGGAAACTAAAAGCATTTGAGCAGTCGCATGTGGAAAGATTTAGAGTACCCTGACAACACCGAACTATAGAGTTGGGAATTTCAAATTTTGAAACATAATTAATTTGCACTTTCTGGAAATTTTGAAAGAATCACAAAAAACGTCACACCTCGAAAACTACAAAGAATTGAGCAGTGATATTAGGAGGCAAGATTCGCAATCCTTGAGAGTACTTTGACAGGACCTAACTACAGGGTTGGGAAATTCAGTTTTTTAAAGAACAGAAATAATTTAAGTTTTCTGAAGATTTTTGAAAAAAATCACAAAAAACGTCATATCTCGAAAACTACAAAGAATTGAGCAGTCATATTTGGAGGCAAGATTCGCAATTCTTGAGAGTAGTTTGACAGGACCTAAATACAGGGTTGGGAATTTCAGTTTTTTAAAGAATAGAAATAATTTAAGTTTTCTGAAGATTTTTGAAAAAAATCACAAAAACATATCTCGAAAACTACAAAGAATTGAGCAGTCATATTTGGAGGCAAGATTCGCAATTCTTGAGAGTACTTTGACAGGACCTAACTACAGGGTTGGGAATTTCAGTTTTTAAAGATTAGAAATAATTTAAGTTTTCTGAAAATTTTTGAAAAAAATCACAAAAGACTTCATATCTCAAAAACTACAAAGAATTGAGCAGTCATATTTGGAGGCAAGATTCGCAATCTTTGAGAGTACTCCGACAGCACCCAACTACAGGGTTGGGAACTTCAAGTTTGGTAAATTATTTTGTTATTTGAAATTTCTAAAATTTTTTGAAAAAATCTCAAAAATCTTCTTATCTCGTTAGCGAAAATGATTCGGGCATTCAAAATTGGAGGCCAAATTCGCAACCCCTAATTTGATATTGGGCTGCTTAATTTAAACTCGGTAAAATAACCACTAAAATCAAATTGGAAAATCGAAAAAAAAATTCTTAACCATTGCAATATACGATATAGCTTAAACATGCAAAAATAATACGTTGAAGAAGCTTAAACATTGCGAGATAGTGAAGCCCGCATTTAAATATATAATAGATTAAAATTTTCTGAAACAAAAAACGTCATATCTCAAAAACTACAAGGATTTGAGCAGTCATATTTGGAGAAAAAATTTACAACTCCTGTGAGTACCCTAACAGAGCCTCACTATAGAGGTGGGAACTTCAAATTTTGTGAAATTATCAAAATCTAAGTTCTTTTTAAAATCTTGAAAAAATAATTTAAAAAATATCTCGAAAACAACAAGGATTTGAGAAGTAAGATTTAGAGGCAAGATTCGTAATCCCTGAGACTACCCTGACATCCCCCAACTACAGGGTTGGGAATTTCAAATTTTCGGAAACTTTTAAAAATAAATTTTATTAGAAATTTTTGAAAAATCTCGAAAATTGCCGTATCTCGTAACCTAAAAGAATTGCTAATTGATATATGGAAGCCGAAATTGCAACATCCGGAGAAACCCTAACGTTAAACATGCCTGACGAATTCTTTTGTTAAACATGCAAAAATAATACGTTGAAAAAGCTAAACATGGCGAGATAGTGAAGCCCGCATTCAAATATATAATAGATTACTGTGCCCAAATTGACAGAACTATTGATGAATATTTACTGCATGTGGCGTGTTTCTATCCTCTCATGTTTCACCCTTCTTATATTTGGTGGTACATATTGCTCCTCATACGGGACTTTGCGGGATATGTGAACGGCAATATATGTGAGAGGCAAACTGTGCCACTAAATACAAAAAAGGCCGAACTGCGTAAAAGCGAAACGCGTGTACACCACATTTACTTGTTTTACAGTTTCCTAAATTAAAAGAAGCTTCGATTGTTACAGAAAGGAAGCGGAGCTTCGCTACACTTGCGATCCAACAGAAACATAGCATAGAGAGATAGAGGATAGAAAAAGTGTCGAAAGCCACTAAGTCAGAAAAAAAACATTGACGAAAACCAAATCTAAAAAATTTCAAAAAACTTTGTCGAGAAATAATAAAAACGAACACTGTATTCTCCTTTCTCTCTTCGACGCATTCTCCTCTGCTTAACAGATTGAATATTCCTTCAAGTAGGACAATCATCAGCATTAATAACCATTCAGAATCATTCACCGAGCGAGAACTAAGCCGTAAACACTTAGGTGCACACCTGTTGACCCAAAACAAAAATGTTGTCATAAAAAAGGCGGATCTCTTTAACTACACCCCTCGGGTATCTAGTAACGAATACCCCCTATAAAGAAATAAATCAACGGTTAAGCATATGAGAATTTTATAGCTAGTAATGAATCCCGCTTTTGCTAAAGCGGGGATATAGTTACAGAAATCCAAAACGGCTAAGCAATAAAGTTTTGAAATTTTTACGCCCTACCCCATCTGAAACACAAAAAAAATCAATTTTTGCATTTAAAACGAATTTAAGGTGAATGAGCCTATTTAGCATAAGGCGAAACCACTTAGGCGAAAACATTAAGCGGAAATTATTGTACAAAATAAGTGTTGGTAAACTTACAGTTAAAGTTAGAGAACGACTCTGAATTACAACTGCTCGGTAGAAAAGTCTTTGGAAAGTCAGCGACTATTAATGAGCATGCTAGCGATAGTCCGACTTTTCAAATTTTCACAGAACTTTTTTTTCAATTTCTCTAGGTTTTCAATGGAGATCGATAAGGTCCTGCCGGGACCCAACGGCTAAGCTTAAGCTCCCAAGGCACGCGACTTGCCATTAGTACAAGTGGGAGAGGCATGAACGTTAATAAAGTTTCATTATCAAGCAAGGTCATTTTTTTGCAGATTTGTGCGAAAATTTTTTCAATGGAAATTCAAGCTCCGGATTACAAAAAATACAGTTGCTCTCGTAAGAGAAAAAGTTTTCGATCTTAAAAAATGGAAATATACGCGATACACACCTTTAACACTCGGTTCATAATTGGTGTCAACTTCTCCGTTGTTTTGCTTGATTTCCACCTCGGGGTCTGAAATACTATTCACAATTACAAGGCAAATATTCAATTCCTTTGCCAAGACAGCGTTAAATTTAAAATTTAAGTCAGCAATTCGCAAAAAAAAAATAAACAACAACAACATGGGTAAACTAAAAGCACAACCTTTGTTAGACAGAGCTTTTTCCTCGGAATCGAAAACAGCCTGCTCTTTCATATGCTCAGCAACTGGCGTTTTTGGCTCAGTCTTCGACAGAGCATCCACGTCTTCCCGTGTTTCTCTTTTAGCATCCTGAAACCAGTTTCTAATCAAAAGCGGAACTTTACAACTCAGCTCTACTATCTTAATGAACATCTCTCTAGGAAAGAACAAACAGTTTCTGGAAACTCACGTCTTGCGTGACACCATCGACCAGAACAGCTCCTGTGGATGTGTTGCTCCTTTGCAGAAAATTAGTCTCCATAGATTCAGTCACTTCTTCCGGCAACTTTCCCTCTCCCCTCGAAACATGAATCACCGGCATTTCTATTTTAATATTGTTCTGATCCAGGTCAATTTGGAACTGAGGCTTTTGCGCATTGAATTTCGAGGAACTTCCAGAGAAAAATTTAGGCGATGAATTAGCACAACGGCGAACCTCCATTAATTCTTCGTCCAGATGTTGTGCGAACACTGGATGTACGGGCATATTCTGTCGTGAAATAATTTTCTGCTCAACTATTTTGCGCCATCTCTCTTTATAACTCAACTTGCCCGTAGCTGGACTACCCTGCTGATTATTTGTCACATGCTGATAATCTCTTTTGTTTCCTGTTACAGACTCGTCGCAAAGTCCAGTTGAGTTATTCTCTTGTTTCGAGTTTTCTTTTGCCTTCGTGACCAAGTTATGCCACGAGGTCAGAATTTGTTTCTGTTTCCCTATCACTTTTTGCTGCACAAGCTGTCGAAATTTGAGCTGTCCTTCCTTGCGCTTTTGAAAGAGGTCAGGCCTAACTGGGTCCTTATTGTGGTATGCAAACACGGACACTTCGTTGGCGAACACTACTCTATTGTGTGGTTGTTTTATGTCAGGAGGTGTGTGGACAATGTCATCGGAGGATCCGACCGTGCCGAACGCGAGCAGAGACGCTCTTTTTGTTCCGCTTGAGCTTTCAACTCCAACAACCGTTGTTGAACTTTGTAATTCTAAAAAATGATTACTTTTAACCAAATTGTGTATTCCTAAACACTTGAACACTCGCTTTTTTAATTGTCCGTATGTTTCAACGACCCAGTATATAACTGAAAAACCTAAAAACAACAGAAAATCAGCATATTTTCAATTTCCTTCCAACTTTCAATTTTCTTCCAATTGGAAAAGTAATGAACGCAAGTAAACATAAAAAAATGATTTTCTTGAAAAAATCGCAACTTTCGAATTTCCAAGAAAAAAGTAGATGCCTTTTAAGCTCTGTCAAAAAGGGATCAATAGGTTAAATTTTTATTCAGCTGGAAAATCGTTCACGTTTTTTCGCGCCATTTCCACGTTCGTAATTGGAGTGCTATTTACGTCACTTTCAGTAGATAAATTTCAATTGAACTCAAAAAGTGGATTATAGCTAAGTGCATTTAAGTCCTGAAAAAAAAATCAGCAAGACCTATATAAGAGTCTTCACTATGTTCATTACTCTTAAATAATGGGGAATAAAATTTACCCACTAATTATCTGCACCAAAACAATTTGACACTGATGCGAAGCGAAAATTTCACTTGCAATGCCATACAAGCATAACTCCCAAATAGCATAAAATGAAAAAATTCCCAAATGTCGTAAAATTCATGCCATGTAATTCCCAAATGGCATTAAAATCATGTACTTTAGCGGCGTAAAATTCATGCCATGTAATTCATGCAAGTTGCATTGAAACAAATATTCGCGAAAGATATTTATGTTAACATGGGATGAAATGTAATAAATTTTATTTTGAAAAGTATGCTGTTACTAATCGATTTTTTGGAATCAGATTCTCCATCGCAACTGTTTCTTAACACTTGTTTGGAAGCAATTAATTCTGAATCTTGTTCACAAGTTTTCGTTACTGATACAAATGCGAAAAATTCGCTGATACAAAATGTTTCAATTTCAATCAAAACTTTAAATTTATGATATTTGTAAAATAAATTCATTTTACGCTATTTGGGAGTTATGTCATTTAGCAAATTATCTAAACATAGGATAGTAAGCTAGCAGACTGAAAATGAGTTGGAAGTAATTAAGTCGATAAAATTCTTGCATTAAAATTGAACACAGAGGCAAAAGGGATCTTCGCACCATTTGCGATACAACACTAACATAAAATAAGAAGATAAAAAGCCAAAACTGATACTTTCATATGTCTCGATAGAAAATCATTCCAAGCAAACATACCTTACAGATGATTTTTAAGGCAGCAACAACGGAGCAAAATTTAGAAAAAGAAACAGAGCTGACAATCTTCGAGCAGACCCAAGTTGAACCGAAAAAATATGCTTTTATATTGAAGTCCCACCTTAAACAACAATGGACAACAATTTCACTTGAAACTACAATGTAAGTTGTAAGAAAAATCAGTGATGTGGCAACTAAGCCAACAATCTTTGAGCTGAGACCACTTGAACCGAAAAAAATGATTTGAAACTAGAATGAACAGTACTTGCAAATGCAACTGCAATGAAAGTTGTTTAAAGCAAAAAAACAGTGATGTGGCAACTAAACCGACCATATTTGAGCAGACACCAACTGAAACGAAAAAAAAAGAAGATTTTGCGAAAACTTTTTTTTCAAAAAGATTTTGCGAAATCTTTCAACTCCCCCTTGATATTAGGATAAAAAACACTTGCACTTGGAGCTACAATTCAACCGACAAAAGCTGAGCGAACAAACGAAAAATCAACACTTCAATTTTGTCGGATTTTTTTTTTCAATTTCCTTGATACTGAAAAAAAAACAAGATCCGGCCACGACTCGAACCCCTGGCCATAGGGTACAAAGGCAACTGTTTTACCTCCAGGCCAACGGGGAAGCAACCTTAATCATGTTAAGAGAACGTAAGGAAAGAAGTGAAGATAAGAAGAGAAAGGAAAAGAAGTGATTCAATTGATTTTGTTAAACTAGCTAACCCAAAAAAAGTCTATATTCCAGTTTGATAACGCTTGCTTATCGCAAGCGTAATCGTGTTCAATGCGAAAAAAACATATAGAGAAAAAAAATCACCAGCATGGAATAAGCTTTCAAAAAAATTATCGTGCGGCAATTAAGCCGACAATACAAAGGTAGAAGCCAGTTGAGTCAAAAATGAAAATATAGTGGGACAAACTTAAGCTATCAAGTTTTTAAAAACGAAGTTTTAGCGGCATCACCTTCGGGAAACAGAAATATTGACACCTACTTGTCTTTCAAACAACGCAACACTAGGTTACGAAACCAAAATAATACGAGGATAGTCAGTTGCTGTGCCTGTAGCACATAATATTCCGGCCAATTCGTTAAAAACTACAAAACTTTTTTTTTCATCTTCAAATTAGCGTCGTTTCTTCTATGTGGTGTGATTTTAGAACAAAACAAAAGGGTAGAAAAATAGTAAATTAGGCAAAAACACTATATTTGTCTCCAAAAAAAAAATAAAAAATGAAAAGAAGTTCTAAAAGTTTTCAGTTTGTAAGAAAATTTTTTTGACCAAGAAAGATCTTAATGAAACTTTCAAATCTGGTTTCGTTTTTGGCAAAATCTACTTTTTTAGCCTAAATCCAATATTTATATATAACAAACGTTACTCTATCACTTTACACGCTAGAAAATGGACGAAAACTAAAAAATTTCAAATTGTCGTTCGAATCACGACTGGAAGGGTTTAAATATGATATATCACTGGACCTATTCCGAAGACTAATTGAGGTACCTGATGTTGCGTGGAAAACATAAATAAAAAAACTAAAACACACCTGAACACAAAGTTCCTCCACAGTTTTCAAATGGTCGGAATAATAAGCTAGAACCATTTCAGCTGAAATAGAAGGAAAAAGAAAAGCATGAAAATTTACTGGATTGAGCAAATTACAGGAATAAATGAAAATGACTTTAAATTATAGCGGAAACTGTTAAATAACAAGAAAATTCAGCACTGTGGCAACTAACCCGACAAAACTGAAGCGGGAAAACGATAGGCCTACATCTTTTTTCAACGAGTTTGGAAACAGAAACACGTCCTGGCCGAGTTCGTCGTTCCCTTATCGTCGCCGTTAGACCATGTATACCCAAGACGACGTGGAATTTGATTTTATATTAAAGTAATGATTCTGTTAGATAAACTGTTTACTTGAAAAAATGTATGTTCCGACTTGATGACAGTGGCCAATGGCTAGCGTGAAGATTCTCCAAAGCAGAGCAACAAGGGTTGAGATTTAAAAAACCTAAGCTATACGTGTGGTCCAGAAGCAAATCACCAATGAAGGAACCAGATACATCAGATTGGTTGCAAAGTCCTGGAACTTCTTTAGAAAGAATAAGTGATAACTTAGTAAAACTGCGATGTCTTTAAGATGCAACCCAGTAACTAAATAAAAAATCGACGTCTCGTTTGCGGTCATTCTATGCTATCATAAAGGCGCTATGTTTTTCATATAAAAATCAGCCATTATATAAAACATTGAAAATATTTAGCTTACTTGGTTGGGAGTCAACGAAGTTGCTCCTGCTCTCCTTGTTACCTGGCACTTCAGTAAACTCGGCCGCCAGACACGCTCTGAACTCGATCATGAACCTGTCATCATTCAACAACTCCCCGATACTCTCTCGCTTCTCTATTTTGTCCAAAAGGGTAACCTGGTTACAGTCATCTGCTGATGTTGCCATAAATACTCCCACCAAACCCCTGCTAATTGAAGAGCAACTGCAAAGATAAATACTAAAAGCGCTCTTCGCCACACTACAATCAAAGAGCTCTCAAAACTAATAGACTCCCTTTTTCACTTTACCAGTTCCTTAAATTCTAGTACTCCGATAATTTGCGTTTCAAATTGGAGGATTTAGATGAAAGCGAACTGCAAATAGAGATGGGTTTTCAGCACAGAATGGTAACTCGAACAGATACTGACTTTAATAATAATCAGATATGTTCTTGTGAACTGTTCAAGAGACAATTTCCTGACTAAAGGATAACCAGTCATTTTCGAAAACTGACTATTAAGCAAATTTTATACGCATTTTAATGAAGGAAATGATTAGCTAAGTGCAAAACAAGACACTTCATTCACTCACACTTGGTTTCGCAATTCATTTTAAAGCAAAAACATATTTTTAAAAAAGCAACTGATAGCAACAAAAATGATTTTTCCTCTTGGCATGATAATTTTATGGAATGAAAAGTGTTAAATTGGGGCTCAAATTGCTCTCTGCTCATAATTTCCGTGTAGTTGCATGCGTGAAATGTTTGAAGCTTTAGAGGCGCCCGGGATTTGAAAGAAAATACCTTTCCTAAAAGCTCCCAAATTTATCTGAAACCAATTCACAAAAAAATACAAAATGTAGCAGCCATTGTTAACGTGTACGGGCAATGGTCCAATGCGAATTGTCGCTAGCGAATTTCTCTTTAGGAATTCAGTTTGGACACAAAGCTGCGTTCCATTTCAGAATAAGTTTTTTACGCCTCCGTTTGTCCTATAGTCATACACCAATTCTATGCAATTTAGACAGCGCTGCATATTCGAGCTATTTCTATTTCCTCCTTACTTTTCTTTAAAAAACAATCCCCATAGAAACAGACGTAATAATCAGCAACGGCTGGTATTGCCTAAGAAGCTGAAAAAATAGACGTGACTAAATCAAAGCAAAAAAACTGAAACTCAAGCTAAAAATCTATGCGACTATTTTGAATTGCACTAACACTTGTCGCGAACATTGTTTTCGCATGATGTTTGTTAGTTTTCCCTCAAAACTGACCCAAATCACCGATTTTTCTCAATAATGGGTCTTTTCTTTTCGTTTGCTCATATCGCGATTTTTTTTAAAAGAACAGCAATTTTTAAAAGTTACAGCAAAGAATACAGCTAGCGAAAGAAAAATTGAAAAATGCGACAAGAAAAAATTAAAATTATGATTCAGCCAGCAAAAAAGAAGAAAAAAAGACGTCCCTTTTCCGCAGAAAAGTCTATACAGCTGTTTGCTCTCTATAGTACTGCTCTCCCACTTAGTGTCCAAACATTTGTAGCCTTCGAAAGCTAGAACGATTTCAACGACGCGTCATACGTTGGATCATACCTGTTTTGGATAAGTTTGAAGCACTTGCAAAACTGAATTTTATTCCAGTGTGCTAGCAACTGATTTGTACAGATATTATTTCTGTTGTCAAAAAATGAACTAATGAAATAATGAAAAATGAACAGAAATAAGATCTTCATTATTGTTTGGCTAACATATGTATATTTTCATCTTACTTCTTCTTCGTCATGTTATGGAACGAACCATCAGAGATTAATTTAAAACGTTTTTTTTTTCAAAAAAGGTGGCCAATAAAACAAAAACTAAGAAAAAATGTTTAAGAAGTATCAGTGAAATCTTACCATCGCTGAGTTTCAATCTCAGTTTAGAACATTATCTGATCGAGTTTTGAAACAAAAAGTTCCGACCGAATATTTCTTGATTTGCGGCACCAAACGATAAAAAGATCAGTAATTCAGCAAAAAAGAAATCCGATATTTCTTTTTACAATTAACGCTCTCTTGCCGAGTTTGTCGCTCTTAAAACGGAATGGAATAAGGTGAAAATTGTGGACATTTTTTTGAAAACTAGGAAAAAAGAAAACAATTTTTGAATCAAATATCAAAAAATTGGTAGCATTATTATAATTTCAAACCATAACAGCAAATATACGATAAAATTAATTAAAAAATCATAGAATAGAATCAAATAGAAAACTTTTTCAAATACCTTTGTCTACAGGTATCTGCAAATGATGCCAACTTTTTGCGCCTTAAAGGGGTCTCTTTGCTCTATGTTTTAACAAAGACTCGGATTTAGTTTTTTTTGTAATCCTGCGACAAAATTTCAAATTGGAGGGTAGAAATGTCAACCTGCCCAATTTCACGAAGAATGCCAATTTTTACACGCAATTGTCGTTCTTAGACTAAGCTCCCAGTGATATAAATTCCCGATCAAAACTCCAGCAGCTTTTGATCCATAATCTCTTGATACACTTCCGGTTTGTTTACTTATAAAGTACTTATTTATTTGGTTAGCTCGTTCTCGCTGCCACTATGATGTCGTTTTCCATCTGAAGTTTTTTTTACATTTGGTGGAGCAGATAAAACAAAATAGGGACCACCACTGTAATTTGGTTCAAGAAACTCAAAAAACTGCGTCGTCAAGCGACGAAAACTGCATCCACATTATATGCACAGATATACTGGTCCAAGCATAAAGGCGCTAAAGATGTAAACTGTATATCTCAGTAATGCAAAAAAGCGCTGGAGTTAAAGTGAAACTCCATAAAAAGTAGACAAATCTGATGATTCTTCTTGTTTTCTATCCTCATCTCTTCTCATCATCATCATCATAGGGCTTTCCAGGCAGCTACTGCCCATTGCCCGCCACATGAGCATCTCGAACCAAGGCTTTCCATTGCAGTTGGTTGACAGCTATTTCTTTTGTCCTGTTGAACCAGGATTCTTCCCATTTCTTCAGAGAGATTTTTAGGGGTTTTGCGAAGGGCTAGACATTTTTCTGCACGAGTTGTCTCCAAGTAAACTTACTCCCACCTCGTGGACGATTCCAGTTGTCAGCTTTCTCAAACTCTAGGGCTGCGTTTGGAATTTCATCTTGGGGGCATTCTCAGTACATGACCCAGCCATTTCAGGCGTCTTCTTTGAATGTTTTGGCTGATGGAATTGCCGAGGAGGGCTCTGTCGAGTATGTTTGATCTGGACATTTTGTATGCATTTGGTACAAACTTTTTTGTGCATCGAGTTTCAAAGACGTCAAGGAGGCATAGGTCAGACTTTTTTTATAGGCCATGACTCACTACCGTAGAGAAGCAAACTTTGAACACAAGCGGCATAGATTTTTCGTTTTATTGATGTCGGGATAGTTTTTAATCCCCAGAGTTTTTTGAGGTTCCGTACATTTCCAGTGGCTTTACCAATTATCAATTCTTGCGCGGACTTCCTGGGTTATGTTACCGTCGATTCTGATTTTGCTGCCGAGGTAGGTGAATTCTTCTACTTGATCTAGTTCTTGGCCGTGGAAATTAACATTGATAACACGTTCAACTCAATTAGACCTTCAATACTTATATCTTCTTAAAGTCTTTTTCTGATTTTCAGTTGCATGATTAGATTTTTTTTATTTCAGTTCTGCTGTTTTATTGTCGTCTAATTTCGCTTTCGTTCAATTTCAAATCAACCAGAAAATGGTCTAGCAACACAGATAGTATTGTTCAGACTCTCGTACAGAGGCCAAGCTGTGCTTCGCACCTACTGCAATACAAACATGAACAAAATAACCTGCAGCATTAGAAACTTTGAAAAGGAGGTTTCGGTGGAAACTAAGCGGACAAAAAGAAGCCGAAAAGTTTTATTTTGCAAAAAAACAGGTCCCGACTGGAATCGATCTCTCGGCTTTTGTGGTCTCCAGCATTGGTGTTACCACTGTGCCATATGCTCAGGACTCTCCTTGAAAACGAAGTTATAACAAAAACATTTTCACCAGCGAATTATGAGAAAAAAATAGGTTTACGAGAAAAAGTGCAGTACCCGGTTGCATAACCTTTGCTTATCGCAAGAAGAAAGTGACGGAATATTTGTGATAGGGGTGTTAAAACAAAATGTCACTATGTTAAAACAATCTCTCTATGTTAAAAAATAAATGGCCTGATTAGGTTTCTAAAAACTTGAAAAAACGCACAGACACTCAACTGCGCTTATAACTGGAGCAATAAAAAACAATCAGCAAGTGAACAAAACAACAAAAATAAAAGCAGCACCTCAAAAACTTTGTCACAGCAAAATAAAAGTTAGCAATTTCTTTAAACGCAACCAAACAGAGCTCTATCTATTTTTTCTTAAATCTACAATTTATATAAAATTTTTATATCCAAAAACATTAAAAACAAAAATTTCACTCAGTTGTCTTGTTTGACATAAACACAGTGTGCACTAAAAACTGTCTTTTTAGCGGTTTTAAAAAACAGGTGAAAACTGTCATAAGGAGACCAAAAACAGATGAATTATTGATCCAAATCAAATTTCAAAACACAGATAAATTCATCATCTTTATTAGGTTTGTTTAACTCATAATACAGAAGAAAATTTTTAATATAACCAACCCAAATTGAGAAAACTAGATCAATAAAAAAAAATTATTTCAAGGGAAATCCGAAAATTAAACGTTTTTTGAGATTTTCACCATTTTCGGTTCGGTAGAGAAGTTTGCCTTTCTGTTTATAAAAAAAATGAACGGAACTTAAAAAGAAATCAAAAGTCAAACCGCGAAAAAGTAAGTTTGAGCCGGACTTCCGAAGAATAAATTTCAAAAAATCATCACGACCAATTATACGACACTCAATGCGTTGCTCATTACGTTATTAAAGATTTTTATTGACTAGTCAAGCTTTTCTGGAGAGTGTAATTTGCCTGCCATTTAGCAAATGAAGTTGAAGCAAGCTACAAAAGAAATCAAAATAAACGTATAAGAAAACATGAGAAAATATAAACGTCGTAAAATATAAACCAGCGTAAAAAAAAGCCGACAGTTGGAAAAGAGTCAGTGAATGCACTATAACAGAAAAAAAACTGACTTGATTTCAAGACAAAATCTTAACTATTAAACTTTGAAAAAAAAAGACGACCTGAGAGGTCTTTAAACTACTAGAACAAATTATGGGTGGCATTTTTTGATCAAATAAACCCAAATTGAGAAAACTGAATCATTAGGTAAACTTTTCTGTTTCGCTGAGAAATCTAAAAAATAAATTCCATTTTCGAAACTAAAAATCTATCAATGTTTTGCGGGACTTTTACAATTTTGCTGCACGGTATTGGAGTTTGCCTTTCTTTTAACAAAGGAAATAAACTTAACTTAAACGGAAATAAAAAGTCACATCGCAAAAAAGTACATTTGAGCCACACCTATTTACAAATCTGAACTACATTTCATGACTATTAGTAAAATAAGGATAGCCGGTTGCTGCTGCAAGTAGCATAGAACGTTCCGACCATATTTTTCAAAAAAAACTACCATATTTTTAAATAAGCGTCGTTTTTTATGCGTGATTTCATGCAAGGATCTGAGCGAAACACTAGAACTTATGCATAATTGACATAGGGAAAACAGGCGAACCTGACAACAGTTTTTGTATGAATGAAATGAAAAAAAAAATTCAAAAAATCACGAACTTTTTCATTTGTTGCATAAACTTTGAATTTTTAGTGTTTTTTATTCTAAAAAACATTACTCACTCAAGCCTACTGCATAATTGTTGGAGACTTCAATGCCCACAACCCGTTATGGTATTCCAGTTCTACCTGCGGAATCTTCTTAGCCAAATGACGTCTACAAAGCTGAGAAAGCTTTCGGAAAACATTGTTAAAGGCAGCATGAAAACTCATTCCCTAAGGATACATCAAAATTACTATACTAAATTTTCCCACAAGCAATGACGCACTTATCTTTGAAACAAAAAAAAAACATGAATAAGTTGGTTCAATTTATGTGGAAAAAACTTCACCATTTTTCACGCCAAAAAATGTGCCAATAAATTCAATCAGCATTTCAGCCCACACCCCACATCAGTTAGTAAAGAGCGTCTCTACACGCTAAGGCCTTTGAAGAGTTTTAAAATTGAAGATAGTGTTCAAAAGCCACCCACACTGTTGCCGTGGCGATGAAAGACTCGAAGAAAAGTAAGGCGCATGGTCCGGATCATATTGCGCCTATTCAATTGCACTATCTGGGCCCAGTCGCCATACAATACCTAACAGAGTTCATTAATACATCGACACAAACAGCGACAAAACCA